CAGGAACATTCACTGAAATAGGCAGGCAGAGATTTAGCCCCAAATGTGTCTCCCTAGCTTTCAAAAATATTAACAGAGCACTTACACAAGCTCACAGCAGGCTTAAAATGTGGCCATCCAGCAGGAAAACCCTTTGCTGAATTTCTTAAATACAGATGAAAATGCAGGCTCTGTGTGCTGCTTTTCATGCAGACTAGTCACTTGTCTAATCACTACAAACCTTACATTTTTCTAAGGAACACATATACAAACACCCCACTACACACGTCAGGAGCAATCTGAGCACTGGAATCAACCAAATCTTATTTCCTATGCATGCATCCAAGGGTGAATTGTGTAAGGATTCTTCTGTGTTAATAAGGGTTGAGGTTTTTCCTTCAGCAGGGAAATTTCCAGGTTTTCTCTCCTCTGTGGAAAATGTGGAAACTTGCTCTATCAGAGATTTATGCCTTTCTGTTATGTTGTGTTAAAATTGGCCAGTGGTGGCAGTGATGGCTGCTAGAGAGACAAGGGCAGCCATTTGGTCAGAGAGAAATCAGGTGGCACTTGAGTAAAAAAGCAGTTATTTTGGACATTTTTAGCATGGGTCCTGCTCTGAGGCCACGTTTTATGGCCTGTTTGTAAACATGCTGGCATGAGAGCCACTGGGAACTGAGCCAATGAGGTTTTCTAAGGCCGATTTTGTTCAGATGCTGTTCAGTGTCTCACGGAAACCCCTCCCATCCCGTGTGGGAGTATCAGTGCTCCTGGGGACCCATTCTCATCTCACAGATATGAAAAGTTGTTAGAGCTTGGCTATAAATGGTTGGTGCCTCGAGATTCTCAGACAAATGGTAACTTTGTGTATGCTCCTATTAAGTTTGGGAAACTGGTCTAAAAATGTCAACATAGACAGGTTCAATTATTGTAAAATGCAGTTTATACTAACATAAAGTATGCCAGATTGAAAGTCGGACCTATCTTCTCCTAAGCCATGCTGTTTAGAATGAACTTGGAAAATCTGTGGTTTATTGGATCATCTTCACTTTAATCTTGCTGTGTAACTTCCAGGATTGCCACATTTCAATTACCAAATAAAGCAGAGAGCTTCTCAGTGGAGTATGTTACTCTGTGTACAAGGCCATGATCTTACCCATGCGTTAAAGGATAGTTTTGACAGCTTTGGAAGATAACATAAAAAAATGTAGCATTAGCAGATTATTATCAAAATAGTAAAAAGCTGAGGAATAGATACTTGGATAACATATAACATGTCTGAAATGGACTTCTCCCCCACTCCTAGTAATAAATCCGGCTCCATAATGATAGTGCTCAGATTGAAGCTATGAGTCTGCAAACATGCACTTGTACAGTCCCCTTCTTCTAGGTGGGAAGAG